GTTCGGAGGGCCAAGTTTCAACCTGGCGTGCTTATTCTCCCACGACCTGAATACGCTTTTCGACCCAACCGATTCTGAGAAGCTTGCGGACTTCGCAACAAGATCTGGTCGTATCAAGTCGTTCTAATTGTCTGCTTCACTCAACCTTGCTTCCTATGTAGGGACACCGTGACGATCGCCCATGAACAAGCCCCACAACACTCGAGGATTTACAAAGAGGTGAGTGTAGTTGACTTCCAGTCCGCGTGAAATGGATTGATTGCGGGATCGTAGTAGATGATTCTCGTGGCGAGTCCTTCTAAGCCTTTCGAATACACGTCCAAAGGATCTCTTCGTCGAGGTGCCATTATCGAACTATATCACGACGAGATCGAAGGCATATATAATGCCGCGACGAAGTTTCGCGCACCCAAGGAGCCCCGCCGGACTCATGGGATCTGAAGAATATCACCATCTTCGTTTCGTAGCATAGTTCATGACGTTCTCTCTCCTTCTATCACGGGCGACATGAATATCTTTGATGTTGGTGGCGATAGGTATCGTTCTCATATACTTCTCTGGAGAGCATTGGCTGATGATATTCGCTTGCAGTTTAACCGCAACGTCTATTCGTAACTCGCTTCTTCGTGCAATACACCAGTCGAAAGCTGTTCCACTCTCCGCCATTCGGCTCTTGCCGCAGAACTTTGTGTTCGAGTTCCCGACAATTGTCTCATTGAGCGCCTTTATCCGTGGTTTCGTCATCGGTTCTTTCAGGGTTCCTAGCGCACAGGAGCTGGAGGAGGAGAAGGACGGATATTATCCAGCCGATCCACCCCTTCCAATGTCTGGTCAAAGTGTGGTGAAGCTATTGGAAGGAAAGGGGGAGCCACCTCTGATTATGATTCACGGTTAGTCTGACTGTTACCAGTCAACTCGTATCCTTATAAATTCGACAGGTGCTGGTGGTTTCTTCTTCGAGTACGCAGCGTACACGGAGAAGTTTCGGACTGCTGTCTGGACGCTGCAAGTCACTCCCGACACGCCATTGACGACGCTGGATGAAATGGCTGCTTTCTACTTTGCGAAGATCAAGGAGCAGCAACCGACGGGGCCATACCGACTTGCTGCATACTCGTCGACGAGTATCCTTGGCTTTGCGCTCGCCAAGCTCTTCGAGGACAATGGTGACGACGTCGTCCAACTGGCCATGCTCGACCATTTCCCGCCTTTGTTCGTTTACGCGGCCAACCGGGTGGGTAACGTCGATCCAGAAACCCGGCTAATCGAGAAAAGTTTGTGGCGCTGTCTAGAGACACCATCAGCGGGCTCATGAGGCGAGACGCAAACTGGCCAATTATGGAGAAGCAATTTCAAGCTTTCCTTAATGCTTCGAAGGGACTTCCGGCTCCGGCGCTTATGAAAACGGCCGCTAACACGGTCAAGAAGTATATCACCCTCGTTGCCGACTATGTATATGATCTGACGACCGACTCGACTGGCGCGTCGTCGCTGGAGCTTATGGTCAAATGGATGGCGTCCGTCAAGGCACCTGTTTGTGTTTATGCCGCCAAGACGGGTGCGGTGGGCGCTGTTGCTGACGAGGATAAAGAGGACTGGGCTGATCTGGGAGCAAAGTATCTGCCTGGGACTCGAGTTGTCCTGCTGGAGGGTGGGCACTATGAATTCTTGATGAACGAAAAAGTCATTCGCAGTTTGCAGGAGGGCTTTTAACTTTCATTTGTTATTTCGAACGTCATGTAATAAGAATGTACTTGTAAGTAGTCACCCTATCATAGATTTGAATGTGTGGCGCACATCGTGTACGGTTGTCGAACGCGTCAAGTGAAATCCGTTCCGTCACCTCCGTCAACTTCGACCTCACCTTGTAGCGCAACATCGTTGACGTATGCACAACAACGAGGAACTCGAATGTCTTATACTGCAGTTGACGTGACCACAGCGGGTGTTGGTACATTGATATCAAACCAGTTGAGCTAGTCGGCACAGCCTCCATCAATCATACGCCGCCTTCACCGTCATTGGCCCTATCTCCAAGGAGGCTTTCTGCGTATGCGATAGAAAGCCAATGTGGTGTCTGTGGAATGTGGTGATTGTCATTGGGGATTAACTATGAGCGTAAGGTGAGATGACCAGTTGAACAAACTACGGCGAAGAGAAACCCACCCGAGGCTTCGTGGATGTGATTTCCCATTTGTACTCTCTGCGGTCTGGACCAACAAATACGCGATGTCTGTGTACGTCGAATGTTATTCTTAGTTCCCCTTGTGGACAAAATGCGCCACATATACCTGCCATTCCACCCGAGTCCCTTACTTCTTAGAAAGTCATTGGCTTTCATCTCCGTGCCGCCAATCTCAATTATCGAAGACCCAATTGTCTTCGATACTATACGCATTACAGACGCGCCATCGCCTCCGGGAATCGTAGTCGTGCGGTTGGTTAATGTGTACGGTGTGACTCCACTGCAACATGCCTCTCTCAATCACGGACACGACGAACCTGTCCTCCGTGTTCAACTCCCTTACCTTTTGACTTCAAGGTCTTGATCGGCAACAACCCGATGTTGGGGACCTCCACCTCGACAACTTGGGCTTCTTGCTGGACCACATCAACCCCGGCCTCTCACTATCTAGGCACAACCAAGTCCTGCCAGCATTTGTTATGCGACCCCTTCCACATCTTGTCCCAGATCATCGAGGATGCTCGTCCACAACGCCTTGTTCTCCTGCGACATAAAAGGCAGAGTTTGTAACTTCAAGTTCAATGGATGCCGGCCCGCGCTTTTATGTCACAAAACACGTGTTGTTATACTTCGCGTTTAATTCTCGCACGCCCACGGCTTTGACTGTTACGTCCATCTCCTTCGCCCAAGATGCCTATGTGCGAGAACCAGAACTGTACTTCTCTCACAGGCGTGGACATGCGCTGCTCCGTCTGCAAAAATGCCTACTACTGGTACGCCACACTCCCCTTCCTTCCCACTGCACCGATCAACACATCTGCAGCTCGGCCGTGTGCCAAAAGGAAGACTGGTCCATCCACAAGAAAGGTTGCGCTCTCTATGCCAAGGTTCGCGAGATCAACGAAGCGCAGGAGGCCAGAGACGCGGAGAAGCTGAAGAAGAAGCCGCGGAAGACGCACTGCACTGGGTGCAATGTCAGGTTTGACCCAGAAGAGTGCGACGACCAGGAAGAATGCCCCGACTGCAGCTACATTGCATGCGAAAGTTGCGGCTGCCATCACTCTCGAGGTGCGTCGCCATGCATTCCTTCAGGCTTCTATATAAGTTCACGTTTTCTGACCGTCCAAATCAGGTTCGTGTTACTGCCCCAACTCGAATTTCGGCAGAAAGTACTGTGAAATGGGTTAGTGCCTAGCTCTGCATCCGCTCGGGATCTTATCTTCCCTTGTAGAGCCACAATGGTACCATATGAGCTCCGCCACAGGCAAGTCTTACAAGGGCGATCGCCACCCCGATGAGTTCGATCCTAATGCATATGAGGCTGAGGCTAGGAAGTGCGGCAATTGCGGGGAGATCGCAAAGTGCCTCAAGAATGATTACCTTTGAAATTTGAACATCAATACTATGTATGCATCTTGGCTTCATCCAACATATCATAGTATACCATATTTCTCGAGAGACGAATGTAACTTCAATATAGTTCTACATTGACTGGCTGTTGCGGAATCCTTGTTTTTTGCAATGATACTGATAGGGTTTATTAGTCACCGAGTTTGATACTTACTGTGCCACCCCCGTAGCCGTAGGATCTTCAAGATTCATCAAGAACCATTGTCAGGAATCACCGGCACCACCGGGCACCCTATGTCAGAAAGTTTAGGGTTGCACAGAATATCGCGCCATTGGATATTTAACCGGTTATTCAAGATCAGCGGGACCAGGCAGGAACAGGTGAAAGGGTAGCTAAGAACCACAATAAATGCTATTTATAAGCTAGAAACATGGCAGAACCCTAAATTGACCCTTTCTGCAGTGTGGATTCTTGGCGGCGCGCCACTGCGCCACATCACGTGGTCAAACACACGTGCCGGTATCGAAACCGTTAGTAACGGTTTTAAAACTAGGGCCTCCCGGGGGGTCGGTATCAATACCGTTATTAACACCCCCGGGAGGTTTACTGTGCCACCCTACGGAGGAATGTACTGCGCAATAGGGTAGTGGAAACAACCTAGGTTAGAGTACCAAGAGGTTGTTTCCCGGTAAATTACCGGTTATTTACCGGTTTGTAACCTAAGTCTGTTGGAGGTAGGTTATTTACCTGCACGTGACATATCCACGTGATGTGTGGCGCACGGAAAAAGGTAGTATGCACTATATTCAGAGGCAAGCAAAGTTACCATTGCCATTAAAATCTATCTAACTCTGATGGGACCAAGGAAATTGTGACATCTGGAGGGGAAAGACTGAAAACAGTTGACGGCTGCTGCATGGCACTCCCCCGGGGAGACGTCACGTGAAAATATCACGTGCAGGTAAATAACCTGGACCTCTGGGAGGGTAGGTAAATAACAGTTATTTACCACCCCCGAGGTTATTTCCACGACCCTACTACGCAACCCTAGTTAGAAATTAGAATCAAAGTTCAAACTTCAATAGGGTGGTGAAGTAAACCCTAGGTTTTGATACACCTCGGGTTTACTGCAGTTACTAACAGTATCGATACGGTATTGAAACTGTCGGGGGTCGGGAGGTAGGTTTCGATACCGGCACGTGATCACTTCACGTGACGGCGCGCTGGTGCTAAGAGAAGCTGAGAGTGGCGGGACAAGGGCGGGATGAGGGTGGCGAGCCGCTGCACCACATCACGTGTTCAAAACACGTGCCGGTATCGAAACCGTTACTAACGGTTTCAAAACCAGGGCCTCCCGGGGGGTTGATATCAATACCGTTACTAACACCCCCGGAGGTTACTGTGCCAACTTAAACTTCAAAGAATTAGAAATTTCTTTCAAAAATCAACGCTAAAGACTTTCAATGACCCCTACCCGGATCGAACGGATGGCCTTGTGGAAGCACTTCCTCAGAAGGAAAGCTGGAATCACACACTCTACCACTGAGCTAAGGGGTCGATACTTTGTTGGTCACTGACGTAATCTGGAAGTGGGTAGGATTTAGGTAGGATCATCATCCGCTGCATCCCCGGACTCTACATACTTCCCTACGAATCTTTCCATCGACTATACAAATCCTATTGGCATAAACTTGAACTACGCCCCCTCCTTGTACAGCCCACTGCAGATCCTGATCGACTCGGACTCATCTCCTTGTCCCTGGTGTCAACGCCGACACGATCCCTGGCCCACACATCATTACCACTGTACCCGAAGAACCTCTAGTACTTGGCCCTTCTCTTACAACCGTGCTCGCCGTCGTCGTTCCTATAAATGTCTCTCAACCGGGAACGCACTTGTTCTCATTCTCATTCTCATTCACCTTCTCCCTCACCTTCTTACTAGCTCCCTCCCTCGAAAACCGATCCCCTTAACAGAACGAAAGATGTTCCAATTCACCCCTTCCCTCACCCTCCTCCTCTCCGTCTCCACCATCTCCGCCGTATCCGCCTCGCTGCAGACCGGCGAGTACAAAGGCTGCATACCCGATTTCGCCGACGCGGGCATGACGATCATCAACAACCAGCGCGAGTGGGCTATGGCATCCGCGGCAAACGACGCTGAGATCATTTCGCGGCTGAGGATTAAGAACCCGGATACGCCCGAGTTTGACTTGGAGCTGAGGGATGATGAGGAGGGGTTTACTATCAAGTAATGTTATTGCTTGGATGGAATGAGGAGATGGACTGACGATGATGAAATAGGGAGTTTAACAACCATGATTTGATTGTTGCATACGATCCCATTGATAGTATCCTCAAGTTCAAGTCCTTTGATCAACGCGACGGGTTCGTCCCAGCCTCCGGAGTCTTTCTTGCATCCAATCTAACTCACTCGCCACAGCGCGCAAATGTGGAACGTCTTCTGCAGCAGCTGCGACAGGCTGGCGTACGACACGGGCAGCTTCTTAGCCACTGACTGTCTGATCCTCAATGTGGCGAACAGCTTCTGCGTCCAGGTCGGGCCCAATATTGACAACCCAATGTACATCGCCACATGCAATGGCGATTTCCCACAGCAGTTCGACTTCTGGGTAGCTGCTGAGGACTTGAAGTGATGTCGATCAGACTTTATTTGTTATGATATTACATTATTCTGCTAGTTCCGAGCAGTGGAAGCCCGTGAGTCTCGACGGTCATACATAAAACGAAAACATACAATAAATTAAGGGCGAAGGATGCCTCAGTCTTCAAATAATCAGCTTAGCTTGTCCTTTCTCTGTCACAACAGTCGCACTCCCTCTGCAGGAATTCTCATCCGATGCAGGATGAAGCTCTACAACGCCCCACGCCTTAGCTGTGCTTTCGTCCTGCGCCGAATGTATCTGCACCGAGCGATCGTCCATATGGCGAAGCTGAATCGCAGGTTTGTGATCAGTGGCCCGCACTGAAAACTCGCCTGCGAAAGAGCGCGGAAGCATCACCGTCGCCGGCGCATTCGTCGCAGTGGCTAGCAACTTGAGCTCCGGGCTGCCAGCCATGCCGTTCAAATTCAATTTGAGAGGCCGCTTAGCAGTGCTGGCATCGACTGCGAGATGATACGCGTCGGAACGCGTTGAGTCCATGACCGCAGTAATTTTCCTATTGGCAAGTCCGAGTAAGCGAGGACAGATTCTTGTATGAAGGCGGATGCGTACCCGGAATGACTGCGCAAGTGGACCGTGCTCTTCCCCCTCCCCGTCCGCTTCGCAGTTTCCCTCAACCGCACCTCCACCTTAATGTCGCCATGCCCCGTCTTCAGATGGAGCCCAGACTGAGCATCAAAACGGCCCACGATATGACCCGATGTCACACCAAGAAACTTATTGCAGTAAAGTGTCTACATCGTGCCGGTGTTTAACACGAGAAAAGCGGCAGAGTACACAGAGGGAGCTCACATCATCAATCGTTATCGACCTCAGTTTCTTGATACTAATGGTCTTGATACGCAATGGACCCTTGAACGCGCACGCGAAATGAGGCATCGCTACCGACAAGGATTTCGTTTGAGCCCCATCAGCCGGGAAGCTGACGGCAACGTGGAAGTTGAATGGCCGTGGTGTCTCTTTGGAATGGGGTGTCTACACGCAACGGTGAGATGCAGTAAAGACTGCAGATGGTATAATACACACCACAATCTCGATTCCACGAGCTTTATCCGAGTCTATAATTTCCTTGATAGAGCAAGCTTGTATGTCTGACACCCCGCATGTAAAGCCAACGTTGATTCGAACGTCTTTCGAGGAGGTATGACGCCGTTGGGAAATTGTGAGTGTTCCAGCAGCGTACGATCCAGAGGATGTGAGTAGGATGTCTTGAGTGGTACTTGGAAATTTAAAGGATTCAAAGATCCACGTTTCTGGATTCCCAGGAGAGCCGCGGGCTAGTTCCAATTCAGCTCAAGTATCATATTGACGTAGTACTGACCTGGTTTGTGGGAGACCTCTTTGACACTACTGACCATGATGGAAATGCAGACAGGCTTTGGTATGATGCCGTCGTGCACTAGCTGGTACTTGTATCATATTGAGAGTGTATCAGGAGAAACGCGATGATTTGGTGCGTGAGGAGCGTGTACATCGTGTGTTGCGGCATCTTAGCAACTCGGCGGGCGGTGAGCATATAAGAGCAGCACGTCGTTCTGCAGGTAACGCGACGAGTACGTGTCTGCCGTGGCAAAAGTCGACCGACGATGCAGTAACGCCGGCGTTCTCGACGATGAGGTTGGAAGTCAAAAGAGGGCATCAACGCCAGACAACTGTTACGTCATGCAAACGAGTGTCAATTCGCCAAGATTTGGTGAGTATCAAAGACTGTGGGATGTCCCACGGGGTGCGAGCGCAGCAAGCAACCTCATACTTACTCCAGGCTCATTACACTCTCTTGTCTTGTATACATTAACGCGCCGCAGATGGAGCAGACGGCATGAGATCCGACGTGAGTGAGAGGCATGAGAAGGTGATTGTATGGAAGAGAAAGACTCAAAGAGGACGAGGGCTGCCGATCGAATGGTTAGCTATAGCGCGCCGAGGGACAGCAGTTCTCAAATTCCAGCCCAATAGATAGTAACTGCATAGCAGCGTAGGGCAAAAGAAACATACCGTTAAGCCCACTGAGGACACTGCGCACATGTTGCATGACTGAATGCGCCGAAAAGGCGACGGAACCATAGATACGCTACAGTGGGCCAAAAATCACCGTTCAAAAGAGAGCAGTCAAAAGAGAAGGCAATAATGGGGTCCAGCACCCAGTATGAAGAAGATTCATGGAGAATTGACGACGATACAGGTGATACTTTACAGTTGTATTTATTTACGTGACACCAAAGCCGATTGCTGCCTCACACACCAGAACGGTTGCTCGCTGCGCTCGCAATCAGGACAAAGCACTCAGCTACAATTCATGCGCCAATAAATAGCATCTAAATAAACGCGTCGTTGACGCAGACAATATTTACACTCAGCAATCGATACAAGTGTCTAGCCAGAAATCAGGGGAAGAAGGCCTTTTTGAGAATGGGCATGCCAGTGAGGAAGAACCGGTCCTGCAGCATCTTATTCACCATCTCGATAGAAAGAGGCTTCTTCAACTTATGACTTCGCTCAGAGTCCGTCATAATAACAAAGTCGCTGCGCTCAATCACGTCCTTGTGATGCCTATCAAAAACGTGAGCCACAACGAAGACGGTCAAACGAATTAAAAACTAACCAGCCTATCATATGCCGACGTAACGTCACGGCCGACTGGAATTCACCACAAACGCTTCCGTCGGTCGCGTCCTTCTTTGGCAGGCGACAGGCAAGGTTATAGCCTTGGTGTGCCAGCTGCTTTTTAACGAGAAGATCAATCTTGACATCCATAAAATTGGCGCTATCGAGGATGGTGAACGACACTTCAGACGAGAACCGGTGAGGTCGTGGATGCTTTTGCGCAGCGTGGTGGATCTATTAAACGTGTAAGAGCGAATAGCCACAATAAAATTATAAACAACGTACTGCATCCAGCCATGTCATCGCGTTATGTTCTACATGATTCTGGTATTCCAGTATACACGTCCTACAGGCGTACACCGGGCAGATGTAATTCATCGCCTTGCTGATCATCTCCGCCGGGTGGATGAATTCCAATCCAATGGAAGCTATGTTTTCCCGCGGGACTGTACGGTTGAACGTGAGCATCTGCGCAGTATGAAATGGAAATCATACACACTATTTTGGCAATGATGGTTGAAGAGCTCTACAAGGTGGTTCACAACCTCCTCTGTGTCTGGGTAGAGACAGAAGTTGAATTCCGAAGCAGGCGTCTTCCACGCCGTCGGGCCGCCCGTTTCGTCAATCCCGCGAGTGCAATTGGGCGAAGTCCACATTTCGTCGCACCAGTGCACCATGACGTGAGGATACGTAACTGGGTGGTGGCAAGTCTTGCACTGGAATATCGTCGTCACGCGCGGAAGGCTCGTTTCGTCTGCAGAAGGATCAGCCTCCTGTAGAAGCGCCACCAAGCGACTTTGCTTCTCCCTGAACCATTCGTTGAATATCTCGGGGAAGCAGTCGAAGACCGGGCGAAAGCTGTCGACCGTGGGTTCCTCCCAAGGTCGAAGTTTCGAAACAACTTCCCGGAATTCGGGGATCCCGATCATCTCTTGGGGAGATGGAATGAGTATATCGTGGCGCAAGTCACTCCCCATGGCTGCCTGTCGATGAGTTGTGTCCAAAATCAGGTCGACCAGGCAGTCATGATGAACGTCGCGCAGGACGGCAGCGAGTACCTGACGTTGAATGCACAGCTCGGCGTACTCCAGCGTGCGCTCGACTTCGCTTCTGATCGAGAGCCACTCTGAAGAGAATTAGACAGGTTAGATGACGAGCAGAGAAACGCACCAGGTTCATCCAGGACTTTGTCGATGCACACAAATGAGAGTTCCCTGAATACAGGCAGGCCCATCTTTTCCGGTGTCTGAGCGAATGGCGACTCGTCAG